AGCAAGACGAAAGGGGACTGCTTCTGACCAGATGTGAAGCAGAGGTGGGGGAGTCAGCTGCAAAGGAGCCCCATCATCTTGCACACCCTCTCATTTTGCAGGTGGAAACTCTGCAGGAGAGGGAAGGCTTTTCTGCCAATGGAAGCTATCATTTGAAAGCTCATGCCCCAAGCAAGGCACTTACAGCTCTTTGTGTGGCAGGAATGGGACAAGGTGCTAGGAATACAGATTTATTTTTCCATTTTTTCTGAAACATAATCTTGAGCCATGCTCATTTGGTTTAAATTCCCTAGAGCTATTTGGGAGAGGATAGTGGGCAGGCCGTGGGCAGGGAGTTAAATCTGGTGCTGGTGGCTGCGCAGTTGGCAAGCGTGCTGCTGCAGTGACTGAGCTGCATGCAGTTCCGTGCACCCAGCTGGCCCACAGCACGGCCCAGACGCACACAGGGGCTGCTGACTGCTTAGTGCTGGGCACTCAGGCTTGGAGCAGGGGACTCACAGATGTCTCCTGGGTGCTTGTGCCATGCCAGGCCCTAGGCCAGAGGTGAGAAAGTGATGACAAAGGGGGCTCACGGTTGCGGAGGGGAGGCAGCAGTGCCACGGCACTCTGGGCACGTGGGCTGCCCCTCAGGCTGCACCAGGCAGGAGACACTCTCAGAATGTGCCTCTCCCTGTGTGAAGAGTCTGCAGCTCTTGCCTAGTCACTTAATTTTAGAGGATCATTTTGATACACAGGAGGTTCATACAACTCTTGGATAGCTGGCTTCTCTTGGAAGGGATGAGAGGACATGAGGAAAGAGAATGCTCATTTTTTTCACTCTAAGTAAAAGTTGGTTTGGCCCTCTGTCCCCTGCCAGCAACCCAAAGTTGAGAACTAGGAGATGTCCTTAGCCACACTTGGAAGAGAGCCTCATTTTCTCCGAGGAAGCTCCTCTTACACAGAGGTCACTTCTGTCCACGAGGCTGTGATGCCTCTGGGGATCAGCCCCAAGAATGTAGACCACAAGCAGATACTAGCAAATGCATGCTAGAGCTCCAATGGGGTTTGTGGAAGAAGCAACTCAGTGCACCGGGATGCAGGTCCTCTGCTTGAGCATTGGGCTTAGAGACCTCTTAGACCCCCTTGGTCTCTGTGTCTCTGTTGGATGGCCACGCTGTTTTTCTTCTGACACAGGGGCATATAGTGTGACAATCTTGTTTGTTTGCTTGCATGCCAGGAATGTGAGAGTCAAACATTTCACAGCTTATACAGGGTGAGAGGTCAGAGTAGTTGGCTGGACTTTTGCCACTGTGGCTGCTGAGATCCAGCAGTCAGAGCTCAGGCATGCAGGGGCCTCGGCAGAAAGCAGAGAAGAATGGATGGGCTGCTGAGGGAAGAGGTGGGTCACAATACAGTCTCATCATCATGGGCGCCTTTGTCTTTGCCTTTTGATGATTTTTTTTGTATTTGTTCCATTGTTGCTTTGCTGTTTGAAAAAACTAGACAGCATGGGTCCTTTGCATCTGGCAAGGGAGAAGTAGTATGTGATGAAATGACTGGGTGTGGAGCCAGCCAAGCTCCCGGGCTCAGCACGTCAGTCTCAGCAGGAGAGTAGGGTGGGAGCTACATACATCCAGTACTTGTAGATAAGCATAAGCTCATGAAAGACTGAGTGATCCTTCAGGAGAGGGCATGGCCTTGATTGAGCCTATACAGCACCCCTCCTTTCCAGGAGTCAGATGGGGACAGGGCTCCCAAAAGGTGGGCCCTTCTGGTGACTGAGGCAGCAGGAACTGCACTGCTGAACCCCAGCCAGCAGCCACTGCCCAGGCACACTTGGGAGTCCCTGTGGAGGAACCCAGAAATAGGCCCGGGCTGTGGGGAGAGAACTCAGCATCCCTACCTGGACCTGGGGCCTGGTACATCAAGAGTGATGGAGCCAGGCATGGTGGTGCACACCTGTAATCCCAGCCCTTGGGAGGCTGAGGCAGGGGCACTGCCATGGGTTTAAGACCACCCTGGTATACATAGCAAGTTCAAGGCCAGCCTAAACTACTTAGCAAGACCCTGTCTCAAAAAAGCTAAACAACAAAAAGGTGATGAATGAAAGGAACAGGCTACTCTGAAGATAAAACAACCTTGAAGAACACCTGTTGAATCTGATCACTGGCACTAATAAGAAGAGACTCCTAAGCCCTTCTACCTTGGAAATTTTACAGCATACTTCCAAGGGGAACTTCTGGTGGAAACCAAGCATTTGGAAGGGAATGAAATACTAAGTGCTAGAAACCTCTGGGGCCTGTCTGAGGTAGTCATCAGAGGCACATTGATGGCCTTTACTGGATATATTTAAAATGAAGATAGAGGGGCTGGGCATATGGCTCAGCAGTACAAGCACCTGCCTGGCAAGCATGAGGTTATAAGTTTGATCCCTGGCACCAAATAAATAAGAAAAAAAAAATGAAGATAGAACTTAGTATAAAGAGCTATGGAAAAGCAGCTCAGAGAAAGAAAAGAGCTTTCTGACTCAGCTTCAGAGGAGTACTGAGGAGGCCGGTGGGCTGAGGTGTTGGTGAGGGGAGAAAGGGAGGCCCTGGTTAGGACAACCTGGGTGAGGTTGTGTGGCCCCTCGCAGGCCAAACCCCAGAGCATACCAGCACTGGAGAGTTTAGTCTCTACAGGCATGTGGTGCTTACCGACAGGCCTATGGTCTGAGAGATGTGTCTCTGGGAAAACACCGTAAACATAGACACATGCTTACATAAACCAAGAGGGCCTCATTACAGGGCCTCATTTCATGGGACCACTGTTGTGCCCACTGTCCTTTGATGCCCCAGGCAGCTCGTAGGAGTCCTGGGCTGATGAGCAGGATCTTCCTTGGAAGGTGTTCTTTCCAGGAATGCAGAGGTGCTTGGTGGAGAAGCTTTGAGGGCCCTGCGTGGGAGGACTGCAGGCCTCACACGACATGCTGATCACCTGCTTCATTCCTGACAGTCCTGAGACTTGGTCCTGGGGAAAGCACCAGCACACCTGACCTAGAGGGCTCCTAATACCTGCTGCCTGGTCCCTGACTTCCTGCTGGGCTACCCAGCTGCTGCGTATGTTTTCCTGTGAGGCTCCTGCTGTTGTCACTGCTCTGCCTCTGACATCTTGTTCACAGTTTGGCATTTGGTGGTTGAGTGACCACAGGAAAGCAGAATGATTTGCGAAGTATTTATTTGGTCCCTTAGTTGCTGTGCCTTCCTGGAAACCTGCCAAGCTCTGGGGAGGGAAAGGGTCTACCTTTTTGGAGACTTTCTTCTCTTTTGTTTCCTTTTTTCCTTCAAAATCATTGTATTGTTTTCTTTGTATATTACGATAATGCTATATACTTATTTAAATATTCAAAGTGTGAAAATGGCAACTATTTCCAAGAATCAAGTAAAGGTTACCTGAAATTGCGCCACCTTCCTAAGTCAGGCCTGTTAACTGCTTGCTAACTACCTGCCTGGAGGGGTAACTGAGTGACCCAGTCCTGTTCCACTCTACACTCAGGCTCTGCACATGGAGCTGGTATTAAGCAAATGGCATCCCATCATCTGTGATATCTTTCACCTGGTATTTCACACGGTCTGTTCCTGGGCATCGCGTCCCCCCCCCCCCCCCCGCCGCCTTAGTAAAGGTCGATCTATGTTATCCAGATTCCTGGGGTTGCTGGAGGTGAGGCATGCCCATGCTCAACGCTCCACTTGGCTGGAGAAGGCAGCTGACAAGCAGGCACAAACTGGAAGCTTTGTCTTTGTGTCTCCCCTGGCCTCATTCCTTCCACTTGGAAGAGTAAATGCACAAACTGTCCTCAGAGGATTAAGTGGATTAATGCAAGTGACGTTGTCTGAGCCACTGTTCACTGCTGTTGGATACTTTCTTGTTACACCATTATGAGTAACTCTGAGAGGAGGAGCTGAAGGTGAATTCTGGAAGCATTGGCAGGCATGTGCCTTCCTGCCCCATGTGCCTGATCCAGGTAGCACCTCTAAGCCTGTCTCTCCTGAGGGAGCAGAAATTGCCTTGGTCCATGGCTTTGGAGTCCCTTTATGGCACAAGCCCTAAGTGGTCCTTTTTGGCATTGAGCAGAAGGTGCTTCCCAGCATTCCTCTTGTATCCAGCTAAGGCTTTGCTGCTAGAAGCTCAGGAGACTTGCTGTTTCTTACCCTGCCCTGAAGGAACTGAGATGGCTTTTGTGACAGTAGCTATGCTATCTTCATCTAAGAACCTCTTTTATCTAGTTTTGCTTTGAGAATGCCAGACACTGGCCATAATACAGATCCAGCTGGAGGAAGAGATAGTTGTGGCTGTGGTCATGTGGCCAGAAGGACTTTTAATGACTCTTTCTGGAATGGATTTCAGACATATAGGGAAGAAATATGTTTCTCGTCAGGAGATCATGCCTTTCTCACAGTTGAGACATGCTCACTGGCCCTCAGTGGCTGGTGGTACTTACACCCAAAAGCTACACATAAGGCAAGTGGCATGTATGTCGCAGGGATGTATCACATTGGCCCGCTACCCAGGCACCCGCAGTAATGTCCATCCCAGCCTCCTTCCTGCCACCTGGGTCCATGACTGTTACAGTCATCATAGCCATTAGGTCATCCTTGGGGCTCCCACTTCTCTGGTCAGCAGCAGAACTTTGGGGAAGGAACGTGGTCTGGATTAGAGGGATGAATTCTGTGCACATCAGTGCATCTCTCTGCCCTCTAGCTTCTTGTGGAATTGAGGACAGTGATAAAGCCGGGACTGTCAGTGTGAGCTGCCACGTTCACTTGACTCTGCTATCTGTGCTCCCACAGTCTGGAGTTCTCCACAGTGGCACTAGCACTCAGCCATAAGCAAGCTCTTTGGGCCCAAAGCTGGGGAGGACTGGAGACTGAGTGCTCTGTCCTTTGTCCCCTGGCTGTCATCATTCAGGAATAGCTAGTCTTCCTATGTGTTTAGCCTCTAGATGACCTGTGGTGTTTCTGTTTGTTTGTTTGTTCTGTTAGGGACCTGCCATCGCAGTTGCCTTTTCAAGAACTGGGGAGTATTTTGCTTCTGGAGGCTCTGATGAACAGGTGAGTAAACAGTGACCTCAGGCATCCATAACGATCCTGCTCAGCACTCAGCAGGAGGCTGGGATGGGCCCTGATGACTTTACTGGAGCTTGTGGTTGGGGTGCTCAGATCCAAGTCCTTTGGTGCCACCGAGCTAGTCCCTTGCAGGCCTACCCTTGTGCCGGTGTCTCAAAGCCCTCACTACTAGTGTAAGTTGGAAGGAGTTTCTAATTATAGGAAGTGTTACTGAAAAATATGGTGAATATTAAAATCTTTAAAACTTTTTTGCAATAAAAGACATTTGCCATTAATCTCTCTCAAACACACATCCCATTTTCTTGCCACTTTCTGAAGCAGTTCTAGAAGCTGTGGCTCATGTCTTTAGTTGCACTATTGTGGTGGTCTTAGTGGTTTTTTTTTTTTTTTTTCATTGTTGTGTATTTATTTGTTTGGTCTTTTTGAGACAGTATCTCAATATGCAGTTCAGGCTGGCCTTGAGCTTACTTTACCTCTGACTGATCTCAAACTCTCAATGACCCTCCTGCCTCAACCTCTCAAGTGCTGGGATTACAGGTGTGGGCCACCATGCCTGGCTGCCTTAGTGTTTTGAGTCAATTAAAAATATTACTTTTCAGGCCAGGGGATTTAGTTCAGCAGCATAAGTGCCTGCCTGGCAAGCGGGAGGTAGTGAGTTCAATTCCTTGGTAACAAAAAAACACAACAAGAAGAAGAAGAACAAAGACATTTATGAAAAACATGTACTTTTCATGGTTATTTTGATTTTGGGGAGCAGCCAGAAGCCTCATGGTGCCCGGACTGGTGAATAAAGTGGGTGAGGACACTCCATGCTTCTACAAGCCCGCCTTTTCTTTGGATGGTGCTCAGCAGTCTCATTCACCATATTTTTCATTGCAGTATGTAAATATAGTCATGAAAGAGGGTTTTTAAGTGAGCAGGGTTAATGGCAGTATCTCTTAGTTAGTTAGTTTGGAGACAGGCTCTGGCTGTATAGGTCTCTCTGGCCTTGAACTCACTGTACAGTCTAGGCCAACCCTGAATTTGCAGTGATCCTCCTGGGTCAGTCTCCCAAGTAATGGAATGACAGGTGTGCAGCCACTGTACCCAGCTCAGAGTGTTCTGTTTAATGTAATGTAAACATTCAAAGTGTGCTTGGATCACCTTGGTAAACAGATAACAATTAATGGCTACTTACTGTGGTGGGGTCTGGTAATACAGTTAACTGACAAGCACTTCACATCTCACTTAGTCCTCACTAAGGCCCCATGGAACAAGCCCTCTCCGTCTTATTTTATAGATCAGGAAACTGGATCCCAGTAGATAGCAAGGCTGGAATAGCACCAGACCTGCCTTTGCAGCCATGGTCCTGGCTGGGGAGCCTCTTGCCCCATGGTCTGCTGCCCCTTGCTCCCAGCCCTGTACCCTTTTTGTGTACTGTTGGAGGGGACAGCATTTTCGTTATCCTTGGCTGCAGAGAGGATGTTGTGAAGTCCTGTCCCACTTCATTGCCCTTTGTGCTAAGGCTTCAGATTGTTTCCATGGCACCCCCTGCCCAGGGTGCTAAATACCAATGGCCTATCTGTTGGTGGGCACCCTGATACTGGGATCTAGCCAAGAACCTAGCACTGGTGAGACTAGGAGCACCGTGGAGTCTGCCAGCCTGGGGTCTCTCCCAGTGGTATGTATGCATTGCAGGGAAGAAAGGACGGCTGCTGTTGGGCCACTGTTGACCTGCTGGGTTGCTGAGGGACCTTCATGCCATGAGTGCCAGGCTTCATGGCTCAGGCAGCTTTGCCTAGGCAGTCCCATCTCATTGGCCCTTTATGAGCCCTGGCCTCAGCAGAATGTACTGATTTGGTTTGAAGGTCTACCACAGAGGCAGAGGATAGCTGGGGCCTCTTTGGCCACCGTCTAGATAAGGGATAGCAGATGTCTTCCCAGCCTAGCACCAGTCCTTATCTGGCAACCAAAGGAGGCAGAAGACAGAGGGGTGCCGCAAGCCTTCCCTGACTATGAGGCCTGACTTGTTGCTTAACGGACATAGGAACGGGTACAGTAGACACAAACAGTAAAGAGAGTTGTGGGGAAATAAATTCACAGCCAAGTGCCTGGTGGGAAGTAGGGTTTGCACCTGTTCTAACCCTTCCTCAGGCAACAGGCTATGAGCTCTTAGGCTGTCTCAATTGATTAATTGATTGGTTAGTCATTGATTTGGGGATGGAATCCAAGGGTGCTCTACTCTGAGCTACATCTCCAGTTTTGTTTTTGTTTTTTGTAGTACTGGGGACTGAACCCAAGATCTTCACAGAGAGAGTATGGGTATGTGTGTGTGTGTGTATGTGTGTGTGTGTGTGCTTAAATTTATTTATTTTTCTGGAGCTGGGGATTTAGCTCAGTGGCATAAGCTCCTGCCTCACAAATATGCAGTCATGAGTTCGATCCCTGGTACCGAAAAGAAAAATAATTTTTCCCCCCCATACAGTGTTTCACTAAGTTGCCCAAGCTGTGCTTGAACTTGTAATCCTCCTTCCTCAGGCTCCCAGAGTGCTGGGATTGCTGGTGTGTGCCTCCACACCAGATTTACCCAGCGCTTTAAAATTTTTTATGTGCTGGGATTACTGGTGTGCACCACTGCACCTGGCTTCCCTGCTGCCTTTTAAAAGCCTACTGGAGAGCTCTTTGGAATAACATTTGGTACTTTACATTTATGCTTGCCACTCTGTTCCTAGGAGTTTATTCACCAGTTAGATCTGCACAGTCATATGTACAAAAGTGTGTCTGCAAATGTTTTGTCTATGAAGTGATGAATGAGAGACCCCCTTCCCAGGTCCCATGTCTCTGGGCATAGTAAACAGTGATATTGCTCAGGGAGTGGTGAGGGTTTCCTGTAAAATGAGGCTCACAGCTGGTATGGTAGATACCAACCCTCCTAAGCAGGTGTGGATGTGGTGGTTCACTGTGACCTCCATGGACCATGCTCCACAAGTCCTGCTGTGAAGCCCAGCCCTGAAAGCCCTAGAAGTACCCAACTGCTCATGGCTGACAGCATCCAGCAGGGAGTGCTCTTGTCCCCAGCAAGGTCACTCCTTCCAGTGTTGTGGAGTAGCAGCAGGATACAATCCTTTCTAGAGCGATATTCTTAGAGCAGGGTGGGATTTTTATGTCTGAGCTTGGGATGGCCAGAGTGTTGAGTGCCAGTGTGCCAAGCCGTGTTGTATGAGGCTCCAGCAGCTCTGGGAAGTGAGAACTGGGATCATCTTCTTTTCCTAGAGGAGGGCTTAAGGCATGGTCTGAGTGCCCCGCCTATGGCCTCACTGTGAGGGGTGGAACAAGGACCTTAACATCCTGGTCTGGCCAGGAGTCCATGTCTTTACCACGTCCCACTGTGTGCTAGGCTAGGCCACCTCCCTCAAGAGCTTCCATTTTATGGGGAGATAGATGATAAACAAGGAACAGGAACAAGTAGATCAAATAACTGCTGGCTGTGGTGCTGAGACTCTGATCATGTGGTACTCCAGGCAGAGGGACCCACAAGTGCCAAAGCCTGGAAGTGCAGCACAGTGACAGTGTCCTGGTGGCTCATCCAGGTCCTCTCGAAGCCTGTGCCAAAAGCATGCTCCTCAGAGAGGTTGGACAGGTCCCACAGTTGAATTAGGAAGTCAGAGGTGGGGGAGGGGTGTCCACCATGTCCCAGAAGTTTGGGGGTGACCTCTGGGCCCATTTTCTTAGTGAAAGAAACTGGCATGCTGTTTCTCTGCCCCTCATTCTGTGTGCCTCTTGGTCTTGGCAGGTGATGGTCTGGAAGAGTAATTTTGATGTTGTTGATTATGGAGAAGTAATAAGAATGCCAAAACCCCCAGCTACACTGGGCACCTCTGCAACGGACCTGGTAAGTGACTTGGCAGTTGTGTCCTGAGCCTTGTGACTTAGGGCTGGATTATGGTGCTCAGAAACAATAGGGGATGGAGGCTTAGGTGGATCTTGGGAAAGGGACCTTGTTAAGATCTTGTCCCTTACCAAGTAATACTGTGGCACCTGTGGTGTTAGATTTCAGTCTAGAGTGAACAAATGAGAGGGAAAGGGCTGGGAAACAGCTTCCAAGTGCCTGGCCCCCAGCCTGCTTGCTTGGGGAATGTTTCCATCGTATGTGTCGCTGCTGCATTGAGACCCAGAGAGACAAAGGAGCTGTCCTATGCCAAGCCTTGAGCCACAGGACACAAATGTGGAGTTCCTAGAGAACTCAGGGCCCACAGCCACAGCTGGAGCAAATGGGAAAGGCCCTAGTCTTGTTGTTTTTACTTCCTTTTTTAACCACAGAGAGGAAGTTCCTCACCCATGAACCATTTTTAGTACCTTTGTTGGTAAAAGGGCAGTTCATGTTCCAGAATTAAAACAGCTAATGTTTTTTGACAGATATTGTGGGGGGGGGGGATTGATATACTCTCATTAATTTAGATCTTGTTTATCTTTGGCTGAAATAAATGTTAAATCCAAAGTTGCAGAACCCTGAGGAGTTTAAACTCTTTTGGCTCTCGGATGTTTAAATCTCTTCCCCCCTGGACTTTTGAGGCATCAATGTTCCCCACAGAAGGAAATTGGCTTCAACAGCAGGAAGTGGCTCGCCCAAGCCCTCAGCAAGTCAAGGCTGAGGCCCAGAATAGAGCCAAGAGGCCTCCTGAGTCTACCGTGGGGCTTTCTGTTGCTCCAGATGGATGCCTCCCATCTACACACAAACACACCGTTCTTTGTGCATGCAGTCCTCTAGGAATACATAGGCCAGGTTGGGTTTTGTCATTTTCTTCCAAAGGTTGCCCTCCTGGCTGGCCACTGTGACTGAGAGGTTTGTTCTCCCTCAGTACCATTATGAATGGCCAGCCCTCAGCTTTGGGTTTATTGGGTTGCATGATGGTCTGCTTGCTGCCGGTTCATCCTCCACCTGGAAGGGCATTTCCATCTGCAAGTTTTGAGTTCCCTGCCCTCTCTGTCATGACTCCCTGTCAATTGGGCAGTGAAGCTAAGCCAGGAACAGCCAGGGCCTTTTGCCTATGCTGTGTTGTTCATTCTTTATCTTATCAGAGTGAGTAAAGTTACTCTTTTGTTTGCAGATGTGACACCTTAGGCTAACCAAGCTGAAGCTGCAGGTGGCAGGGATGCCCGGCAGCTCTTCCCTATCTTAGGATGGCACTGCCATTTGCCTTCTGAGGAAGGTTAATATCCACCACCTGGGGAACAATCCCTTGGTCTTTTTCTTACAGTTATTCAGAAAATAACTTGGATGAGCTGCTCCTTGGTCCTTTAGTCTTGCCTCAGAAATGAGGTAGCTTTGCTTCCCAGAACTTCAAGGCCTAAGAATCTGGAACAAAGTCATGTGGGGTGGAGGAGGCCAGCAAGACAGGACAGGGCATGGGGAAGTACAACCAGCTATTTCCAAACTACTTTCCTGCTCATATCTGTAGTAGAGTCACAGCTCTGCCCACTGAGCATTCCTAACTGGGGCCAACTAGGAGATGGAATGTGGGCTCTGGAGTCAGAACTGGATCTGACCCTGCCTGGATGGACCTCATTTCCTCAAAGGGTCCTGCGTGACCCTATGGGCAGGCTCCAAGGACTCCACCTGCTGTGTTGGTAAGCTGCTGCCCCTGAGGTGACTTGCGAATCCTTCAGTCATTTGCTTGTTTGTCATGAGCCCCTGTGAAGCTCTGAGTGGCCACGCTGGCCTCCTCCAGACATGCCCTTGCTCAAGGTGCTCCACAAGAAGCTTCTCCCAAAGGGGAAAGAGAAGACAGCTAGGGTGTTTGCTTTATCTCATTGTGACTATATCCATATACATAATGTAAAATTGACCATTTTAGCCATTGTTAAGTATACAGCTCACCAGCATTTTGAGTGTACACACTGTTGTGCAACCTGCTCCATCCATCTCCAGAACTTTTTCATCCTCCCAAACTGGGAAGAGCTGGTTTTTGTGTTTATTTTTATTTATTTATTTTTTTTTTTTGTCTTTTTCCTTTTTATCGGTACCAGGGATTGAACTCATGACTGCCTGCTTACAAGGCAGGTGCTTATGCCGCTGAGCTAAACCTCTAGCCCCTGAAGAGCTGGTTTTTATAACACTGTTGACTGGTTAGATTTTTTTTTTCCCTGAGATAAGAAACAAAGCTGAGAGTGTTCTCACTTTTTTGCCAAACTTTCCCTGGCACTGAGGTTTCCTGACTGAGCAAGGTGTCTCATCTCCTGAGGCGGAGCCCAGAAGTACTACCATATCCTACAAATTGTGAGTTTGACGAGTCCCTTCCTTCCAACTCTAGCCACATTCTATCCTTCTAGTAGCCCATAGCTACTCAATCTAAGCAGTGTTCTTTTTTTGAACCAGACAATCCTTTGCCGAAAGGATTGTCTGTCCTGTGCATTATAGACGCCTAGTAACCTCCCTGGCTTGTACCCTCTGGATACCAATAGCATCCCACCTCCCATCCCCCAGTAGGGATGACCACAGCTATTTTCAGATACTATGATAGGTCCCCAGCTGAGAATCACTGCAATGCCTCCTGCTTCAGGAGTGAGCTCAGAAAGCCAGGAGTGGTGGCATACCCCTGTAATCCCAGCACTTTTGAGAGGCTGAGAGGCTGAGGCAAGCACAATTGCAAGTTTCAGCCCATCCTGGGCAATTTAAAGACTTAGTGTAACTCAGTGTAAAGACCTTAGGTTCAGGTCCCAGTGTGGCAAAAATAAATAAATAAATAAATAAAAATGAAAAGGAGAAGAAGCTGGGGGGAGGGGAGGAGGGGAGAAGGGAAGGAAGTTGACCTGGCAACAGGAGAATCAAGGAGGTTGAGTTGTCATCACAGTAGAGGAGCACAGGGAGAGGGTGGGAGGGGCAAAGGAAGGAGAGGGGAACACTAGGGAAGTGGGGAAGTGTGGAGGGGAGCTCAGGAGGGCCAGTTCCAGCTGCCCTTTGTGACACCATACTCAGTCAAGACAGATCTGCGTCCCCACTGGTGGCTATAGCCCAGATTTCTCAGCCTGAGGTTCTAACAGGAGCCCATTTTACAGGCATATTGTTTGGCCTGTCAGATTTTAGAATCATCTACAGGTAGTGATATTCTTTTTTTTTTTTTTTTTTGTACCAGGGATCGAACTCACAAACTTGTGCTTACCAGGCCAGTGCTTACAGCACTGAGCTAAATCCCTGGCCCATCTACAGGTAGTGGTAAACAAAAAAAGACAACCCTTTGCCTTGAACGACTTTGTTTTCTTTGCTTAAAATTAGAGAGTGTTCTTGCCATTCCTGCCAAAAGGCCTCTGTGGCTCAGAGATACCAGGTTTGGTGGCTGACCAGGTGCTTGAACCCATGAGCACCATAACCATGTCCTGGGAACTCAGGAATCCGATGCCTATGTACTCCCTCCAGCTGTACTACACTTTGGGCTGAAGGGGCTAAAACAGCGTGAAGTGCTTTTGGGATTAGGGGATTCTGTGAAGTCGGTGGGGTCAGATGTGGGTGTTAAATACTTGACCATTTGCCTGTTCCAGCCTGGGAGTCAAAAGCCAGAAGGGCGAATACTGGCTGGGTCCCTTGCTTTGTACACCCACTGGCAGGCCATGGCAAGGGCAGCCCTGTCATAGTTCCTCCATCCTGGAAAACCCTCTGCCCGTGATCCCTGCTCTGACTGCAGCATTTCAGGTCTTTCAGAGCTCAGATCTTAGAATGAAGGCTGTCCTTGAGCCTCCTCTGAACAGAGCTCCGTTCACAGTAGAGCTATTTTCAACCTCTGGTTGAAACTCAGCTTATTTTTAGGCACATATCATGTTGAAAAGCAAAAGCTATTTCCCAGCCATTCAGAATGAGAATAATGGGTTCCATTTCCCTCTATTCTTGGCTGAACTGTGCATGAGGAGGAGTTCAGGGCTTGTGGCTGGGGAACTTTCTCTGCTTGGAAAGTTGCAGATGAAGGACTCCAGACCATGCTGTAGGCTGAGGGTGGCAGGCAGCTCTGTGCTGTGCCCCGTAATGTGCTGCAGGGCTGGAGGAGGTGTGGAAGGGGCACTCGTGGGTGGATGAGCACCTCCCTGAGGCGCCTGCGTGGGGGGAAGCAGTGGGGACCCAGGGAGCTGTCTGGAGAAGGTGACTTCAGGGGTCTAGTGCTTAGCCCTGCTGCCTGCCCCAGCCCTCCCTTTTTATCCCCTCCGTGCTTGTCCGTCCTCCCTCTCTCTCTCTGCCTTGAGATTTGTCCCTGTTGCAAAAAGACCCCCTATCTTGACTTACTTTGACTTTAGTGTCTGCCCATTCCTCCCTTCCAACTGAGCCATTATAGGACAGATTTCTGCCCCAACCACCGAAGGACTTTTAAACAAGTTATAAAAAGCTAAGATGCATTTATTTGCCTTTACTCTTATTTTTACTCTCCCTCCAGACATGTAAAGCATTATGCAATTGGAAAGGAAGGTTTTACTGGGTGGAGTGGGAGAGGAAGAACACAGAGTTCTAGGTGATTCAATGAAACTAAAAACAAAAACAAAAACAAAACTGCAGTACTTCCTGAGTTCTCAGGGTTGGCTGCTCTACTGCTCAGGCGTTAACCTTAAATTATGGAACTGAGGGCTTCTCTTTGCTCACCTTTCAAGATTTTACTTGAGAAATTTCACCAGTGGTTAAGAGCTTGGGTTCTGGTTTCCGACCAAGCTGTGACTGAATCCTGCCCCTGCCTACCTTGAGCCGTGACCAGGGGCCGGTGACTGGGATGTCTGTGGGGGCCTGGCTTCCTCTTCTGTCAAGTGGCGAGACACCTGGCCCTCGTTCATGAGATTTCATGGGTGGTATGCCAAGCAGCACTTGGCACTGTGCCTGGCACATGGCAAGGGCTCACCAGGCTGTAGCTGTTTAACCAC